CCCTTCTGTGGCAGGACGCCCTCTAGGATTAACCCTGACCCTTTGGGATGATTGTAGATCATTGATGAGGTGTGGCTAAGAAGAAGGGCTCGCCGAGAGGTTGATCTCCTTTTCGGAGATTTCATCATCCTCGAAGAGGTCACCTCCTCAGACAAGGTGGTTAGAGAGAATATTCCCCATGTGGCTTGCACATGAGCTCCATCCTACATCATGAGATGCCTATAAATAACACCCACCCATAGCTTTACAAGGAATAGATTTTGGAGAGAACTCTTGGAAAAAAACTAATTTCCCTTCTCCATTATTAACCTTGAAAGTGAAAGTGAGAGATCCATGGGAGAACGTTGTCATAATTCTCTCTCTAACTACTTTGCCTTATTATTCACCCAATCTCTTATCTCCATCATCTCTTTGCTTTTGTATTCTTAGTTGTGACTATTGAAAAATCTAAGCCTCTCATCATTTTTAGGGAATTTGAATTTTTCTCAAAGATCTTCGAAGATCTTCAAATTTTCTAACAACGTTCTTGACCCCTCTTATAGAATCGGATATCGAAAATCACTTGTTTGGATCATCAAACTAAAAATTGTTTATTAAAAAATTTAATAAACAGTTTTATTTTTTAATAAAATAGTTTTTAGTTTGATGATCCGTTCATTACACACACACAGATCTAAGAAAACCCAAAAAAAAAAATAAATTAAAACACACATACATCTTGCCTTTGATTGCTCACACACAAATCTCTTTCTCTCTCACTCACTCTCTTGCCTTTGATTGCACACACACACAGATCTCAGTCTCAGATTTGCGGAGACGGTGTCGGTGACGGTGGAAGACACCGGAGACGATCTTTAGATCTAGATCTAGAGACGAAGTCGTTGAAGCCATCACGAGGCAGCGGAGACGAGGCAGGAGACGGTGGAAGGACGAGAGAGTGAGAGAGAGAGTGTGAGTTTCACAGAGTAGATGGAAGGGAGAAGAACGAACAAGAAAAAGAGAGAGAGAGAGAGAGAGTGTGTTGAGAATCTGAACTGCTCTAAACTAAACACACATATATAATATATTGTATTATATATATATATATATTATATAATACGGGGTAATGGCACGGGGATAATTCGGGGAAAATCAGGGCGGGGCCAGGGCTGGGGGATCAATCACCGTCCCCGGCCCGAAAATTATCGGGGATGTGTTTTTCAATACCAGCCCCAGCCCTATGGGGAATAATCTTCGGGGAAAAACCTATTTATCGGGACGGGACGGTCCGGGTCCCCGTCGGGCCGGGTTTAAATTGCCATCCCTACACACACAAACACACACACACCTCTAATTCTGTGGAAGATCTTCTCCGAAATTAGGGTTTTCCACGCTCGCCATGTCCGAACCAGTCCCAAATCCACCGATTCCTCCCCAAAATCAAATCTACGAAGCGATCAGGATCTTCGATCCCTTCCCTACCCATTCAATTCAAGGTTCGATTTTTTCTCCCATCAAAATTCTTCAATTCATGTTACTATTATTGATAATTATACTGCCAATTCACTCTTAACCTTTAAATTTGATCTTCATGTTTTGTTTACCCTGCTAAAAAATCAAATTCAACCGATTATATGTACATACACATTTGTGTATATGCACTTATGGATGTTATTGAATCATATCGGTGGAGATTAAAGAATCTTATTAATTTATTTTGATAATTTTAGGTAGAAGATGGGGGCATTTATGTCAAAATTCTGGTTCATGTTGTTTCCTGCAAAGGAGTATAAGATTGTTGTTGTTGGATTGGACAATGCCGGTAAGACGACAACCCTGTACAAATTACACTTAGGGGGTCACTACGCACCCTACGGTTGGGAGCAATGTCGAGGAGCTTGTGTATAAAAATATACGGTTTGAGGTACAAATACTGATTTCTATTGCCCAATTTGAATGATGTCTGATGAATTGTTATTTTGTGGGCATTAATTTTTTTAGCTTGATTAATGTTAGCTCAATATGAAATCTAGCAATCAAGAAACACCCATATGAGTGTTCATCACCAGTTTGAGGAATAGATTTGGACACTGTATTTTGATAAGTAACAAAATTTCATTAAATGAGCCATTAAAGTCATGTTTGATTCACAAGACTAATAGTGAAGGTATTAATAACCTATCAAATTAGTGTGATATTCAATATCCAATTAGATTAGTAAGATAAATTATTCCCTTGCCCATTGTTTGATTTGCATTAGATAAGAAAACATATGAATGTAGGATTACAATTATAATTATCTTCTTTTTTAATCTTACCCTCGATCAATATTTCTTCACAATCTTTATTTTATCAAAATTTCTCCATGTGGTTTTGAAAAAAAATTATAAATAAATAAATAAAAGCAAAATAAAAATACAAAATACAATGACCATGTTTGGTTTATTTTTTAATATTTTTTATAAAAAAATATAAATTAATTTGATAAAATAAATATCAAAAAATATTTTTAACCTTCTAAAATATAAAATTATATAAAAATAATAAGTGTTTTAATTTTTAGTCAAGGGTAAAAGAGTTTTTTTATTTTATTTTTCAGCTCAGGATATATAATCCCACCCTTACTCCATTACTAATGATCCTACAAATTTGTTGGATTAATTATCCTGAAACAAAATTTTAAAACAAACACTGGATTATTAGACCTATGAATTAATAATTCTAATCTCATACTCTAATTCTGTCAATCAAACATTGTCCTAAGGGAATAAAGATGGACACTTATCAAGCATAAAGGTTAAAGCTCAATGTTGGGAAATATTTGATAGTTCTTTTTTGTTTTTTGTTTTGGGTATTCAAAAGGGGAGGAGCTAGGCTACGCTTGCCTCCCCGCCAGGCTGCTCACAAAAGGTGGGAATAGCCCCAACAAGGGGCTACGGGATTTCGAACCCAAGCATCTAAGCAAGGCAGACGAAACTTACCCGTGAACCAACCCCTCATTGGTATATTTGATAGTTCTTGTTTGTTGGAGAAATTATTTAATTATAATTTGGCTTTTGCTGTTTCATCATGTGTTAATTTATGAACCAAAAACTTTACGGAGACACTTTTGGCGAATCATTGGTAATCAGAAAGAGTCTGGACTCTGGAGGCCCAAAAGTCAGGAAAACTAGGACCCCCAAGTGAATCTTAGGATGGATCATGGCATTTAGCATTCCGAATAAATTTTTTTTAGGTCTCTCTACTTTTAATCATCTGATGATAGGACCAGCATGGTTATAGGTTTTCCACTCTTTTATCTTTTGTAGATTTGGAGATCTGCCTTATGAGGCATTGAGGTCCTTTTTGATGTTGGTTAACGTTCAGCCATTTGGATTTCATGAAGATGCTATCCAGTTCTTCAAAAGGCAATTCGTGAATGGGTATCAAGAACTTGAACTAACAAGTTATATTTGGTTCAAATTACTATGAGTGTTGTGTTTTTTTTCTTCATCTCCTGTAGTGACATCTGTAGACCTTCTTGGGCAACAATTTATGTGCTCAACTCTTATTTATTTATTTGGACAAATACTTATGTTCTTGGTTCTTGGGATGGTTGTGTTTATGACTGATAGTGGAAAAGTGAATTGTGTTTGCATTTAATGTTTCTCATTTCAAACTAAAATTATGTTAGGAGACTGCGAGGTCCTGAGTAGTGATATTCAATGCGAACTCAGATTTCTACATGAGTTTTACTCATTGAATAGTTTAGGACTCTGTCTACACCAATGATGCATGTTTGTTTATCTCAATAGCTTACTGATTCCTCTGGCTTCTGTATGGTTCTTTCCCTCTAAATACTCTTTTTTCCCATTTCAATGTTAGTTTGACAACCCAAAAATGTGTTTGATAGATCGCATTTGATTTTGGAAGTTGTGCATCCTAGTTTGGTTTCTGAATTCCTATCCCTCTTCAGTCTCTTCTTTTTGGAATGTAAAATTGATTTAGTGGGTGTTTGGGGAGTTGCTATTTTAAGAAGGTTATTTTAGTTTTTTGTTATTTTAGTAGGTTAAAATTTTTGTGTTTGGGAAGATAGTTTAATTTTTTTTGTAGTTGGATAGGATGTTTGTGAGAGAAAAAGTGAAATGATTATGAATTTGATGTGGCATATTGGCTATTTTATCTTATTTTGTCTTTTTGTGAATTTTAGCTCAAAAAAACCAAAAAATAGCTTTTGCCAAACACCCCCTTAATCAGTCTGCCTGCTAATGTTGTTTTATCAGGTCTGGGATCTCGGAGGACAAGACAGACTTCGGACATCACGGGCAACATAGTATCGGGGAACTCATGCAGTTATTGCAGTGATAGACAGCACAGACACAGCCAGGATTGGTATGAAGGATGAACTCTTCAGGCTGCTCCCGCATGAGGATCTTCCAAATTCTGTAGTACTCGTTTTTGCAAACAAACAAGACCCCTGCGGAGATAGCTGATGCCCTTTCCCTTCATAGCATCAAGAACCGTGATTGGCACATTCAAGCCTGTGCCCGCACAGGAGAGGGTCTGTATGATGGTTTGGGGTGGATTGCTCAGAGGGTCACGGGAAAGCAACAAGCTAGAACTGTAAACACAAAAATTCCCATTTTCCATCTTTTTTTTTGTATTTGAAGGATTGAAGATGATAAATGTTTCTTCCGTGTACCATCTAACCGAATGATCATTGTGCCTGAAATAATTTGCTGATTGAAATTTTATTTCAAGAAAGAACTGCACATGGTAACCTTTCATTTAACATTTTCTAGTAAAACAGAACTGAACTAAAAAAAATCTTAACATGTCTTCTTGAATTGTCTTCTAATAGAATTTGAGAGACGCTCAACTCTTTATAAAACTTGAACTTAAAAATCCATGTTCTAGCAATATGTCCAAACGAGGCCTTGTATGCAATCAAACACGGTGCAAACAGTGCTTTGGCTGTTTTTCCCATTGTAATATTCCAAAATGTAACACTAGAGAACAATCCAAACTGAGAAAAGCATTTGTTGATTAAAATATATTTCTAACTTTAATTTGCATAAAAACAAAAGAAATCCAATCATCTTCTGCACAAAGGAGCATCACATTTTGTAATGTAACATCAACAACAATTTTGCAAACAAAAAGAGCATTGCTTGCAAATTGTAACATTGTCTTTCATGATCAATTCCTAAAAGGAAGGGAAAACACTATAATTTTCTGCACAATGGAGAGCATCATTTGCCAAGGACAAGGAATTGCTCAAAAATTGTAACAAGTTTGTAAGCTACCGATTCTTTTTCGCCTCCAACAAATATTAAAATGGAAGTGGAATCTTGCAATTCAACAGCCGTCACAGGATCCAGCATCGGCAACCCTGTGAATCTTGGGGTCCTTCAAACCACCGATCCCAGTAAGGACTTGTCGGGCCATTTGTTCTGTCAAACCAAAATAAGCAAACTTTTTTCAGAAACAACTAAGGTTGAATACAGGCCATTTTAAAGCGATACACAGAGTTGGGTAGAAGAGAGGGATTACACTGGAAGTAATGGATCTGGTTTTGTTTCAACGATGATCAGCAATCTGGTGGCACAAAGTTAGATACAATAAACATATTCATTATGATCCTGGTATGAGTTATACATATCATTTAAGCAGTCCAAATATTCTCTTGTACTTACTCCTTGCACGCAGCTGAGGCCGTCTCCATTTTTTCAAGTTGTTCCAGCTCTTCCTGCAACAACGGTTTTGTTAAAGAAAACATGCTCAGAAAATACCACAATTTAAATTTGAACCATGTGCCAGCTAAATCTATACTGAGAGTCATTGTAGTATTTCATCTAAAACAACATTAGCTAGTAAGATGATATGAATCATACGAATACTTTCTGATGCAGCACTTTACTCCTGGACACACTTTCTTCAAGAATAAAACAGACAGGTATTTGAAAACTAGAGTACCTTCCAAGATATGAATCAAAGATTTCCCACTGGAGACAATTACCAGAATCTTTCTTCTTTTTGGAATGTAAAAGTAATAAATTCCATTAAGCTTTCTACTGATATACTACTAAACTTGGTCATGGATTTTTCTTTTCCTCCCCCGTTTTGCAGGGGTGGCTTCATTTATTGCAATGGCTTCAAAAAGGTAAACACATCGCTAACTTCCAATTTTTCCATTTTGCAGGGGTGGCTTCATTTATTGCAATGGCTTCAAAAAGGTAAACACATCGCTAACTTCCAATTTTTCCAATCCGTTCCTACACGTTTTTTGTGGATAGACTCTATAAAAGAAGTGATTCTCTGCATCACCCTTCTTGTTTGACCCATCCACCAAAGGTCGATTATGCAATGTGACAGGTCTCTTAGGCCTTGGATCATTATGGCTTTAACTGCTAGAGGAATAGGGCCAAGGCTGTGACCATGAGAAAGAAAGAAGAAAAGGCATTGTATTATCAGAAGAAGTCACTTGGTCACCTATCCGAACCTGAGCACAGCATTGGGGAATCTTGCACCGGTGCAGTTCTCATCACCACCACATCAAAGCAAACTTACTCAGGAAGCTTTTACAGGCTCATCTGGTGGCTAAAGTAAAGAGAGATTACTGGGAAAAAAGTTCAGAAAATGACATGAAGATGTTGACTCAAGCAAGATTAAAGGCTGGATGTAAGGCTATATACCTACTTACCAGGGAACAAAAAAATGTTGGGCTATAACTGGTCCACCTTTCTCCACATTCAAATTGATGAAATCCCCTCGGGCAAATGAACCAAATGACCATTTATCTATTTTTCCGATCTAATTTATGGGAATTCATTCTTCTCCCATTTCAAGTAATTTTCAAAGAAATAAATTGCAGCAACAGTAAACAACAGTACTGTGAGAAGGGCGCATCGGGCACATAGTACATCAATTAAGAGGACAACTATAGAGCTACCCTTTTAGGACAACTCCAACAAGACTCAAACCGAGGTCTGCCTGTTTAGGAGAACAAAGAGGCATCAGACATTCTGTAAGAGGAGTGCGTTGTTTATTATATGGGGAAAAAGTGCACTAATGTGCAAGCAAGTCTATTCAAATAAATAATTTTGTGAATTCAGAGGTTAACATGCTAATTCACGTTACTCACCTCACCAGAAATACATATATGCAACCCTTGCATGGTGGGCCCATAAAAGAAAGGAAGTATTTTTTAACTTTCATTTTGGATGCACACTTGTCTATACTGAAATGGAATTTTTTCAATGCATGACAATGGAGGATAAACTGAGAAACCCGTCATAATGGTAAGTTTGAAAACTTGAAAAAGCCATTCCAACTAAAAGTTCTTAAATGGGAAAAAGAATAACTAAATTTCAATTTTTTTAACTTTTGTCATTTTTTCCAATCAACACTTTTATTGATTATCATTTAACATGAGTTAAACACTAAAAACATATGCGCCTTTAGTTAAGGATACAATGGTAGAATGGTGCACACACTACATGCATGAGTCAAGAGTTACGAAGATGAAACATAAGGGACATAAATACAAAGAATCCCAACCACTACAATAGTAAACGACAAAAAGGCAGTTACATATAAACTATAGATATCTGATTTGAACAATTCCAAGTCAATCTCCCAACTCCCTTAAGTATTTCCTTTTAAAAACAGAAGCACACATTTTATGAGGGGGAAATTCTAAAAAATTTCTACCCTATTCACCAAAGTGCTCCCTGGTCCTCACTAACACAATAGAAGGAGAAACCAAACCATAAAACGTTAATCCAATATTCTAAAATCAGCACAAGCAACCACATCATTCTTTTCCAATATCCATCAATCTCAGATGAGATTTGGAAGCTAAACAGTCGCTCCAAACAGAACCCATTTATCCATCACGAGCTCAATACGATGAAAAACTTAAAACTCTACATCTACAAAGGCCATTACCAAGTATTTGGTCCTGTCAATTTAGGGTTAGGCCGGGTGAACAATGTGCCGACCTAACCTCCAGCAGCCTCATCTGGATTCATACTGAACCCTTCACTTTTTACCATTTAAACCCCAATCCTAGATCATTTTAGCAGATGGTACAATCCTTCATTTTAAAACTACGAACATAATTACCTTCATAATCAAACCTATGCTAAGTAAAAATGTATTAAAAAGGAGGGATGCTACCCATTTATCCCCCCCCCCCCCCCCCAAAAAAAAAAAATAAAAAAATAAAAAAATAAATAAATCCCACCAAAGCTTCATTTCCCCAATCTACACCATTCACAGACAGTTACAATTAACCAAATTTATACGAATAAACACTATCCTATCCTAGAGTTAAACAATTACAATGCAATTATCATAAAGAATTGAAAGAATTTTAAAAAAGAAAGCTACTTCAGAATCATAAACAATGCACAATCCAATTCAAGATTCCAAATTTTCATCCACAATCCATCAATCAAAGCATTGAACTTGATTAACTAGACAATCAACCCCCAAAACAAAAAATCAAATAAGATATTTTTAAAAAATTAAAATTAAAATTAAAAACCCATCAAAAAGGCGAGAGAAGTAACCTCTAAGAGCCGAGCTTCCTGCTCAAGTCGCTTCAATTCAGCTGAAATCCGATGCTTCCCACGCGTATCAGCCGCTGCAGCCGAAGCAGCCGCCGCCAATCGAACGCGTTGGTTTCCGTGATCGACCGATTCGGATTGCATAACTCTGTCTCTCTCTCTCTCTCTCCGCACAGACAAAACTCACAAATTCTATATATATGTGTATTTATGTATCTATGCAGGGAGTAAAAAACAAACCCTTGAAAGAATCATCAGAAGGAACAACTGAGAGCATTCATCTACACTTCAATCTCCATTAAAAACAATGGTATCAAAGTCTAGTCCATGGATCCTATTAAAGTAGAGAGAGAGAGGACTTTGTATGAGTTATTTGGGTTTTGGGTTTGCAAGTTTAATGTAACTGCCCTCAAGAGGAGGGGATGGGAAGTGGAAATCTGGGCAAAAAGGAAAGGACTTTTCTTATTTTTTTAGTTGTTGGAGTTGGGGTGTTGTGATACTACAAATTTCGATTTAATTATTTAAAAGTTATTGAAAATTATCATTGTATAATTTAAATTTATTTTATACATAAACTTTACATTACATAATTCAATATAAATTTGCTACTAAAATGGCTTAACTATAGAGGGGTAAATTTTGAGACTACTTAATTATATAATGATAAGTTATATATTTGCACACAGGCAGAGAGTATAAGGAGTCGAGATTCCAAATGTCATTCTTAAACGGTTGCTATATAATAGGTCTGTCAATCATATAACAATAAGTCACGGACTCACACAGAAATAAGAATTCGAACTCACACTCTTATCACTTGATACAGTTCATCTAGGTTTAAAAAATTCGTCTTACCAGCTATATGTACTACTCCCTAAATAAATTGACTCCAAAAAAAAAAAAAAAACCTTAAAATTATAATAATTAAAAAAAAAAAAAAAACCTAAAATCTCAAAACTTATATCTTAAAATCTACACGAAGTACCACACCTCTCAGGGTTAATTTAGGATACTAATTCATAACATTTTTCTTTTTATACAGGTATGGAAAGGTGAAAGGTATTTTATTCTTTTTTGCTCTCATTTTCTGTGTCTTTTTTTTTTTTTTTTTTTGATTTTTTTTTTTTTCTCCTTTCTCTCCTCCTTTTTTCCAACTTTGTCTTGTCTCTCGTTTTTATTCCAACTTTCCTCCACGCTTTGTTCCCTTTCGATGTTCCAACCCGACACTTTCGTTTTATGAGCGTGTCCAACCCACACCACACATTTTTTTTGTCTTCTTTTGAGTTTGAGACAAGTATTGAGTTTGTTTGTCTCATTTCATCTTTTAAATTTTTATGTATTAAAAAATTAAATTAATTTAGTAATCATAATTATATTAGATATCTTTTTTAAAAATATAAAATATATTATTCATTTTCGTAAAGACAAATTTAATGGAAATACGTGGCTGCAATAAATTGGTTCAAAAAATTTGGGGCCTAAAATCAAATTTTAAATATGATAGTTAAATATTTAATTTAAATAATATTTATTTATAATCTTTTTTCCCATATCTATTATTGTACCGACAATGAGAATTTTTATTTTGTTGGCTTCCAAATAAGTTTTTGTTTTTTTTTTCCTTTCTAAATGAATGTCTTAGTCATCCTTGTTATTGAGGGTCCGTGGACAAAAAGGTTTTATTTTTCTGACTTTTTGATGAAGAAGTTTTTTATAGGACTTAGTGTGTTTTTTTTTTTGTTTTTGTTTTGGGAAATATGTGGTCACAGGAAAAGAAAAATACAAAATAATGAAAAAGTAGAGCATTTTAATTATTAAAGTGTATAAACTTTTTTACTGATATATAAAATAAAAAAAATATTTTCTCTTTTTTTCTCCTTTGATGTTTAGTCTTGGGCTAATGAGGATTTATTATTTTATTGGGCTTTAGATAAAGAATTTATTTTTGTAATGTTGTTAAAGATCAAAAGAGAGTAAAAGTTAAGGACTTTAGGAAAAAATGCCAGTCTTTGTAGGGCCTTTTACAAAGCTGGTTTAACTTTCCTAGACCATTTTCAAGGATGCAATGCAAAGGCATTGTGGTTTTTTTGCTTTTTGTATTAATTTTTATTTTTTACTTGTTATACAAAAATATGCATTTAATATGGGTCATTTTCAAGTTATAACAAACCATGCACACAATTTAGGAAAAAAAATATTTGAGTAATAGAATAACAAAAGTGCCATTTGCCTTATTTTAACCCATTGCCAAACGCCTTATTTTAGTCCATTGGAATTTTTTTTTTAATAATATCCAAGTATATATGGTAAACATTCTTTGATTTAAAAATTAAGAGCGTTGAGAAATTCTGCTCAAAATGTCCCGTAAGGTTATTTTCAGAGTAGTTAAGTTGGTGGCTTGAAAATGAATATCTTTAAAGTTTAGGTATATAAAATTGTAGGGAAAAGATTCATCTCCCAAGTCTAATTAAAGAATTGAAAAATATACTATTAGGCCTGTGGAGGCCCACTATGAGTCCAATTTCGATAATTTGAACCGTTTAATGTGTAGAATTCGTCGAGTACTATATACTTGCAAAAAATCATATTGATTGGATATCGATAGCTATGTGATCAAATCAGTTTTGTATAAAAAAAATGGACTCTAAAAAATAAACGACTTACAAAACTATGATTTGATCACCTAACTATTGATATTCGATCAACGTGCTTTTTTATAAGCATATAATATTCAACGAGTTATACACATCGACGGTTTGAATTATCACAATAGAACCCGTGATTGAGCCCCACAAGCCCAACAATACCCTCTAATTTGATCACGAACTGCAGAAAAGCCATTCCCTAAATTGTAATCAAGTTGAAATCTTGTTTTAAAAATCAGATTTAGTGAGAAATATTGGTCTGAATATGCCTATTATAAATTTGAAAAGTTGACCAAAGAGTGAGCTTCTTAAAGTGGCGTTTGTTATGTATTTTTTTTTGTTTTTTGTTTTTTCTTCTAAAAATGTTTGGCATAGGCTTATTTTTCAAAATATACGTATAATAAAAATTAAAAATATAATTAATGAGTTATTTTTGAAAATGTTAGGAGCCCAGGCAGGGAGTGCAAATTATTATTATGATGATATCACATGAACATTAAATTGTAATATCACTAATTAATAATAAACTTATATATAAGTTGATTTTCTTAATTAAAATGTAACTACCTACTATAACATATGATAGCCATATAACCATCACATAGATATATGGTGGGGTTAATCATACTTATATGGTAGTTTCTTGTTGTAAGATGATACTAATAAGGTTTTGTTTGGAAAGTGGATTGGTTTTTTAGTTTTTAGTTATTTTGCTTGTTTTGATGATTCGGTTAAAGTAGTTTTTTTTATTCTTTGATTTTTTTAAATCACATCACTTCTTTATTTTTTCACATATTTTTTTTGAAAAAAAAAATCAACTTTTTACCTATTTTTCCAAACAAGCCGCCTGGGGTTAAAAAGTTTGTTTGTGTTGACTTTTTATTTTTATTTTTATGAGATAAAAAGTAAAATGATTTTTTGAATTGATTTTTTTAACTTATTTTATTTTTTTGTGACTAAAAAAAGCCATCAACCTCATTTTAGCAATTGCCAAACGAAAGCTATATAGCCCTGTTTGGTAGGACTTATTTTCAACTTATTTAAGCTTTTAGTTTAATTTAAGCTATTTTGATATGTTTGGTTCAATTTAACAATACAACTTATAACTTTTTGTAAGTCAAAAATCAACTTATTCTTTTAGTGGGGAGGAAAAGTTTAATTTATAAGTCAAAAATCAACTTATGTTCACAGTTATAAGTTATAAGCTGTTAAGATATAAACTATAATCACTTTCCCACAGCTCTACCAAACGGGACAAACGATGATAACGTGACATCACTACTGCATTATTATTATTAATTTTTTAAGGAAAGGCGTGGGTAGACGTGGTGCTAGTGCCCAAAGGCTTGAGAGAAAGAGGAGGGAATAAAATTTTATTTTTTAAAATAAGTAAAAAATACTTTTTTTTATATATAAAATTGCTTTCTTTTTTTTTGGAAATGGAAATAGTTCCAAAATATATATTTATTTCTATTTCTCAGTTTAAAAAAAATCATTATCAAATAAACATTAATTTAAAATTAAAAATAAAATAAAATTAAGGGACGTGAATCTATTTTTGACGAATGCAGTCTCCTTAGCCCAAAACATATTTTGGCTTGTGAGTCGCCCATGACCCAACTAACCCATAGCAGTCCCTTCACTCCCAGGCCCAGCCCTAAGGAGATGCTACAAAGGCCTTGCCTTGGGTCCCCAAATTGCTAAATCCATAATATTAGAAAATTGAAAATGGGACCGATTTGACATTCAGGCCCATTTAACTTCGTATAAATTAAAGGGCCCACAAAAATCGGGTTTCAGTTTCCAATATATTAAAACGATGGGTCAAAATTGGGGAAAAATATATCTATATCTATATTATATATATAAGCAAATGTAGTGATCTCTCAAAAAATTCAAAACTCTCAATTCTAACATCTCATGAACCTCTTTCCTACGTGGCACATCCATTTTTCTCTCATTCTATTTTCCTATTTTTTCTAATCTTTTTTTATATTTTTTATTTCACTTTTTAATTACTTATGGCATGGATATAAAAGATTTCAAAATATTTAAAGATAAAAGATTTTCAAAATATTTAAAAATAGAAGATGAGTTTGACTCTAATTCAAATTTCTTCATCAAAGCAAAACCTCTTTCCTACGTGGCACATCCATTCTTCTCTCATTCTATTTTCCTATTTTTTCTTATCTTTTTTTTATATTTTTTATTTCACTTTTTAATTACTTATGTCATGGATATAAAAGATTTTCAAACTATTTAATGATAACAGATTTTCAAAATATTTAAAAATAAAAGATGAGTTTGACTCTAATTCAAATTTCTTCATCAATTTATGTCTTACCCAAGGATATTTGAAATAAATAAATAAATAAATTTATAAATCTCAAAACCTAACTTCTATGACAATATGAAATTAGGCAAAAAGATTGGAGAACAAAAATAACGTTCTAAAGAAATTAAACGGGTGACTTAACCAATTACGCAAAATTTTTAGCATCTTATGTGAAAAGAAGCACATGTCTTAAATCTCATATTATGTTTTTTGCTCTCTTTTACTTTTGTAATTTATCTAAGTTTCTCTTTCTATATACGTATAATTTATCTTGAAATTTGCATTTGATTTTTTTTTAAATCTTTATTTTATATTTACAGGATCGATTCTTACTTTTGATTTTTAATTAAGTTTATTCTATTTTTATCTGATTTTCACTTTCTATATTCTTATAATTTTTTATTCTTTCTTATTTCAATTAAGTAGCTTTAGAAGACAAAATTTGATTAAATTATAGGTAGTAGACACAAAATAGAGTTAAAATTTGTATAATAAGATAACATA